CTTCCATTCCTTTACTGTTGTTATTTTCTGTTTCAGGAATAAAATTCAACACATATTCATCATGATTTTATAAGCAGAAAATACTAAGTTATGGGTCAAGAATCTGTAAAAAGGCAAAATACTGTGCTAACATATAGGACTTTTAATTCCTCAAATGCTAGTATCTTCAAACAACACCCATTTACTAGAACAAATAAAAGTCAGGAAAAATGCACTAATGATTGACAGTTGGTTTTAACTTGGGGCTTATATGTTTGTAAAGGATTATCTTCAAGCTGGTGTATTTACTTTGGTCTTTAATGATTGGTGAGTCAAGTGGTGAAAGACACCAGTATGAATACAGCAAAGAAGAAGAAGAAATGCTTTCTCTGTTTTTCTCAGATGACCTAGGCATCAGGAATTTGATGGAAGGGTGTGGGTGGGGGATGTGTGTCTGTCTTTCCTCTGTCTTCCTCCCTCTCATTTCAGGTCTGTCACGAATAAAACCACTGGAGACAATTCAGCCCTGGAACTGTGGCAGAGTTCAGTCAACTGATTAACAAGAAACAACAGAAACCGAATCATTCAGCAGACACTCTCAATCTCAGCTGTCCCTGCAGAGTTCTGCAGGTGACACTGGTAATGAGCTTAGAAATCACCAAACATGAAACTCAAGAAGATCACAGGCCCCCCAAATTTGGCAACTTTAGTTAGCTCCATCATCTGACATAGTAACTGTGGACAGCTGTGGCCCAAGATGGGACCAAATAAAGAGAATTAAGAACTCTTGGAAACAAACAAACAAAGCAGCTGACTGAGTCACAGCGATTTAAAACTTAGAAGCGAATGGTCTGGGCAGCAGAGCTGGTTACAGTTCTGCCTAACCGTGGTCCTGAGGCCCCTAGTCAAGCCAGGGTCTGTAGAGACTCCAGGACTGCCGGTGCCAAACAGTTTCTGAAGTCATCGGAGGAATCCTGGCTATTAAGATCAGGAAGGGGAGAGCACTGATAATTCAAGAAGTGATGAATGAGGGAAAGCATCAGATGTGCCAGCAGGAAAATGAATAACGTAATTTTCTTTGGGACCAATTAACATGAGAGCTACTTTGTATCCTCTCAATCAGAAAGGTGTCAGCATTGTCAGGAGAAGGGAACTTTTTTCATAATGAAAGTTAACATGACACTTTCTTGTATTAATGAAACACATTCTGAACTACTTCACAAGGAAGCACTTTAAGTACAAATACCATCACAAGGCAAGACTTGGGGGTATAAATATTCAGGACATATTCCACATGGTTAATTAAGCTCTGTTCCTAACTTTTTTCTGGTTTGTTTTTCTAGTGGGAAAGATGCCAAATATTATGAGCTTCTGCTTCAGAGTTTTCAAGCACAGTTTGGCCTCATATCACCCTGTTTCATTTGGCAAGCAACATTGTCAAGAATGAATGCAGCAATGAATTAATCATTCATGAACACAGGGAGAGAAAAAAACACACACGGGGAAAAGCTTGAAAAGTGACGTGACTGTGAGGCCTTCTGGCGCCTCACATGGGTCCCGGTGTGCTGAAAGCAGCAGAGTGGACGGATGGGAGCACAGACCCTATTACCGTAATTCCTAGACTACTCTAAAAGAAGAAAGGTCTTTGTTGCTCCCGTGGCCCAGTCTGTCACCGAGGTTCTATACAGAAACACTAATGTGACAGCCAAACGAAGGGAACTTCTGCTGCGTAAATCATGTTTCAGAACCACACAGAAAAGCAATTCCATTATAGAAGAAAAGTGATACAATTTTACAAACAAAGATCTCCTAAGAGATGTGTTCTCAATTACATAGCATATTGTTGTAGGTCAAGCTCTATGATCAAATGCCTCGTGGTAGACAGTCTTTTCATGTTTATGGCCTGATTGCTCATAGCAGATTTTCTTACAGAAGAGCGTCCTAATTTTTTTTACCTTATTCTAAATATTTACCCACGTTTCTGCCAGATGTATGATATATTTCCCCACCACATTTTATCAGTTCAATACATGAGCAACAATGTTGACAGGTTAATTTTTCTGTTTCTCACCTGAAAGAGTTTATAGAGCGATAATATGTGACTTTTAGACTAGCAATGTAGCTCAGAGGTATTTCAAGGCCTTCGGTTCAATCCCCTAGCAGCCTCCCCCTCTAGCTACAGCTTTTGAATGAACGGGAATCAAAACATCAGAATCCTTATTCATCAAATTTGATCTGTAAGAGTGACTGGTATAAATTATTTGGTGCAAGAATTATTTAAAATGAAAATAGTCCTTCATTTCTAAACATGTTATCATCAGAATTAAATTGGATTTCAAAAAGATTAATAAATGTTTTTTTTTTTCTAATTAGAAACTACTTTCTTTTCCTACATTGGATTAATACTCCCAAGTCTCAACATTCTCAGGTCCCTAAAATGGTTCACGGAGCTATTTTTTACATACTAAAAAAGGTATGTCTCACTGACAGAGTAGCTCAAGTGACAGAGGACCTCCTGAAGCAAGTATGAGGCCCCGAGTTCGAACCCCAGTACCAAAATAAATAAATAAACAAATATTTTTACCTCAGTAGAGTACAACAAAAATGACAATAAAAAACAAAAGTATAGACGACATAAAAAAGGTACATTTCTAACAGAATTTAGAAATGGGTAGAAAATATTTTCTTAAACTTTCAAATTCTAGAAATTGTCTTTACTCAAGATAGTTCTAAAGAATCATTCCATCTGAGGATACTCAGCCTTAGCAGAATAATAATAAAGCCTGTGAGGACCAAAGACGATTACCTTAGTCATTCAAATAACAGTATTCGTGTTAGAGCTAAATGTGAAAAGAAAACCCAACTGTCTGAAAATGAATTCTACCTTAATTGCACTTAATCAACAAATGTGCAAATATATGCTTAGCCTTAACATCAAACAGCCAAAGGGCAGGCTTACAAACTCGACAAGTTAATAATGCTCCCTGCAATAAATGTCAACAGAGGAAGCTGGCAGATAACTAACTAGGCATGATAATGAGAAATCACATCAAGAAAGAAACTAAAGAAAAGTTTTGTTTTTGCAAGTGTATGATTGGATCCCTACCAGTGTGGACGCCAACCAAAACACAACTGGTGGTACAATCCTAATTACTGCGTCTGAATTCCTGTTTTGACATAATTCTGTGTGAGGCTCAAGGGCTGAAGGATACCACACACAAAACGCCTGGCGTTCTGATTTCCTACTGTCCATCACGCCTCATTAATGTGAAATGCTAATCTGGGAAGAGAGTCAACTAGAAGAGCCAATTCTTTTCTATACTCAGTAGGAGAAAGGCAGGGCAGATGCCCTGGATTCTGGATGCTGGCAAGTGAGTCTTGTCTGAAGAGAGGCTTGAGAAAGGAACATGGTAGAAGGCTCCCTGCTGGTGGAATGAGGCCCCACCAAAGTGCTTAAATGCTGGGCTTCTGTTCAGTACAGCATTCTATGCTGGTCTTTCCTTTCCTTGCTCTGTTTTATGGGGGTTCAGTATATGTATACATACATCCTGTCACAAAACTGGAGCTCAAAGCCCAACCTACTCTACTAAATACAAACAAGCCTATCCCAGCAGGACAAAATGGGTGGCCATCTCAAGTTCAATAACTTTACTTTCTGAGGAGAAGGGTGCCAAGCCTTTGTACATTTCCATGGTGCTTACTCTTGAATCCATTCATATTTTATGGAAGTTACCACATGTCTTTGCAAAGATGTAGCTGCAAAAATCTTCTTCTTAGTGCTATTCATAATAATAATAATAAAAAACCCATTACCTGAATATCCATCAACCAGAAATAGACAAAAAGTATTTATTGTGTTTTCCTACAACAAAACACTATTCAGCTTCTCTAAGACTTATTTTATATTACTGCTGTAATTCCTACTGCAGGAACTGTTTACTGTAGAATAGCATATTGTGAATGCAGAAAGAGATCTAGACTGCAGTACCAGTTCTTAACAGTGAATCAATAGTTGGTGGCTGTTTTCTTTCTTCTCACTTATGTGTATTTTCTAATTTCTCTTTTTACAAGAAATATAAATCATTCTTAGAGTTAGAAAAATAAACCTAAAATCTCTTAAGACACCCAGTGAACCCACTGCCTTTTTCTCTCAACAGTCTTCATATCCTTGGTATCACAATGCATTTTGCATGTATATCTGTGACTTTCTCCTGAGAGACAGAAGTCTAAACACATCCGAGAAAATAAATGATGTCTTCTGCAACCCTTAATTTGCACGTCCAGTGGAAATCCCTGCTGTGAGGCACTCCCTCAGCTTCATCTCCTGCCCAGAGACACAGAGCCATAAATCATACTCACTAGAGGCAGGGCTTGGGGGCCACCAGCATCACCTGTACTTGCAGGGGACTGTGGAGGGGCCATCACCAACTTCCTCATGTCGGGTACACTGATGATTCTTTCATGACTCTCTTCCTGATGAGACAGTCACTTAAGAGTTCTAATGCTCTCAAGAGGTCAAAGGCTGCTCACCCCCTGGTAGACTCTGCTACAAAATTTATCTCCATTTTGACAAAAATAAAGACTTCAAAGAAAAAGGAAAAATGAGAAAGGGGGAAGAGAAAACAGAGAAGTCTTTCTTGAACATATTGAAAATGGCTTACAGATTTTCTCCATGACTTTTATCCCTTTGGAAAATGAAGAATCCTGTAAGAGTTCACACTGAAGCATTCTGAACTTGAAAACTAAGGTAAAAACAAAAACTCTTACATGAAGTTGTGAGTATTAACAGTAACACACATACGAGTGAGGTGGTTATATAGCCAACAAGACTATCACAGTCCTGACACGCTCAGCACCAAGGCACTAGGCCAATTACTCCATTACCAGCTGAGACCGTGGGCATCATGATATGAGTTCGTTCTGAGGCCTTTATTTCTTCATTTATATAAATAAGACAATGCGTATCACAGATCAACAAATGAAAAGACTGGACATTTTGACCTCAGTTTAATACTTTGCTTTCATGGCTCCATCTCCTTCAAGATTCCTTGCTTAGAATAAGCAAGGATGGCTACGATGCCATCAAAAGGCTCTGGTACCTGAGAGGAGGAGGAAGCCATCGAGGGGGACAGCGGACTGTGAAGATCAGCAGGTGCAGAAGTGGTGAGATATAAGCAGAGAGATTATGATTAATGCTGCTGATAACATTTTGAATTTAAGGTACCCAAAAAATGCAGGAGTGGAGGAGAGGTATGAAAAAGTCCTGGACACAGATGGATACTAGGTCTGAAATTCAACAGAGGAACCACAGTGGACAAGAAGATTGGGGGAAGCCATCATCCTCAACCCCGAGTGCTCACCAGAATCAACCTGAGTATTTATAAAATTCCTAGAGTTTAGATTTGCTTGCTTTTAGGAGAGCCTGGGAATCAGCATCTTTTTATTTGCTTTCACTTGGCAATATTTCATTCCAACATTTTTTATTCAATGAGTATTTCATTTAAATACATCAATTATTGTTTTCATTTATATTTTTATGGAGGTAAAATTCACATAACACAAAATTAACCATTTTATAGCATAAAAACTCAGTGCCATTTAGCATAACCACAATGCAGTACCACCATCACCTACATCCAGTTCTACAACATTTCATCCTCAAAAGGAAATCTCATGCCCATGAAGCAGTCACTCCCCTCAGCAATTTGGTTCCCTCCTACCTTCAGCAATTTGGTTCTATGGATTTTTCTATGCTGGGTATTTCATATGGACGGAATCATACAACATGCCATCTTATCGTGACTGGTTTTTCATTAGGCCTGTTCCTGAACATCTGGAAGACCATATTGCAGTATGTATCATTTCTTAGTCTGGCTGAATAATACTCTGCCATGTGGACAGACAACATACTGTTTATCATTCATGAACTGATGGACATGAGTTGTCTCCATCTTTGGGCTATTGTGAACAGTGCATATGGAAGTTTGTTTGAGTACCTGTTTTTAATTCTTTTTGGGTACATACATATGAATGGAAGTGCTGGTCATTTTACTCATATGTTGAAACATTTTCTTGCAGGAAAATGTTTTTGTAGGATTCTACATAAAGCTGACATGAACAATCATAAATGTACAAGATGGAAAAGATTATAAGGATACACAGAACGCACATATGGAGAAAAGGCAAAACCTTGGGAACATGACATTTCAAAGGCTACCAAAAAGAGAGCCCACAAAGGAATGGAATAAATAGGAAGAGAAGAGAGGTGTAAAAGAAAGACAAAAAACCCTTCAAGAGAGGGATCATCAAAAGCAAATGCTGAGGAATAGGAAATCAAGAACTGGAAGTCTATTGCATATGGCAAAATAGAAACGTGGGGGTCACCACGTTTCCTCACCAAAGACTAAATCCAAGGAACTGGAGCTGTCTGTCAGGAGATCCAAAAAGAAGTAAGGCTAATATTCAAACATTCTCTGAACTCACTTCTGAACTCATTACTTGCACTTTAGGGCAAAGACCACCTCTATCTCTTTATTCTCCCATGACAACTAGAAATGAATAATGTAAGTATCAAGCCCATGACTGAGATCTTCTTGGACTGACCAGTTTATACCTCAACAAACAATGCAAAGCATCCCTGCCACACACAGCAGCCTTGTTAGGATTTTAACTACATGGGAAATGGATGCAATTGGAGAACACAATGTTAAGTGAAGTAAGTCAGGCTTAGAAAGAAAAAGGCCACATATTTTCTCACATACATGGAAGATCGATCCAAAGATAAACATATACACATAAACAAGCATGATCATATACAAACTCATATGTAGAACATGTTTGTAACAGTGGGACTACTCTATGGAAGTTGGGGAAGGAGGGAAAGAAAAGAGAATGACAGAGCATCAACAATATCATAAAACATAACATCTGTGAAGGTAGAGGATGTGAGGATATGTGTTGAAAGCTGTTGGAAAATAGTGGGGGAGGGGTGGAAGAGTAAAGGAAGGTTGAACAGACCAGAGGAAAGCACACCATGACAGGAATACATTGAAGAACCTCTTTGAACATCAACTTCAATATTAGTAACAGAAGACAGGACTGTAAAATAGGTACAGTGTGTGGGAGATACTAATGGAAGGGGAAGGGGAATGATGGAGATTGAGGTGAGGGTATATGATTGATGAGCTTCATATACTTACATAAAATAGAACAAAGAAACCTCTTATAATTGTTTTAAGTGGGCGGGGAAGGGGTTGTGGGGAAGAGCGGGTGGGGGTGACCTAACTCATGTACAATATAAGCCTAATTAGAACTGTCACTATGAATCCTCCTTTGTATAAAGAATATATCTTAATAAAAATTATTTTAAAAAAGAAAATACTCGAGTAGAACAGTATGTCATTAGCAAAACTGGTTGATTCTAATTTCAGCAAAATATTTAATAAGCGCTTATACTGTTTCCTTTTTCACTGCCTAAAACTGTTTTAACTTGGTGATATTTATCCATTTTTATATAACATTCACCCATCTCTGAATCAATACTGATAAAAAATGCATAGCAATTTTCCAGAAAAGTTATGTTGTGAAAAAAATTCTTTTCTTCTGTTTTAGAGAAAAGGGTGAGTCTTACAAGAACTACATTTTAAAGATAGAAAGTGAAAGTTAAGGTTGACCCTATGTTTGAAGCCACGAATTACATTTAACTCGCATTTAAATTCTCAAGTAAGGACATATGAAGTGCACAAGTGGTTTTTTTTAAGTACATGTTAATTTTTTCATCGTAGGTGTGAGATCAGCCAAGAAATGTCTCTGAGAGCAGGAAAGCAGAGAACTCTCCTAGATTCCCTTTCTCAATTTATGCTTCTATTTGGTAGACAGCCACAGTATTTAATTTGAAATTTCCTCTTTCTGTGCCAACTGCAGTTTGAACTCCTTCCTGCAACGTCCTTAAGCAGACAACCTGTGTGACACACAAAGACCTGTGAAGGCAGCCAAAGCAAGAAGGAGAAAAAGATGTCTTTCCTTAGTATCAAGCACCTGGCAGAGAAGAGCATGTTCCCGTAAAGACTTAAGGTGTTCCTGGCCTCCCCTGAGAATCCAAATGGATGAATTTTTATTTCCCTTTAAAAAACTTTATATGGTTTTAGCATGCTTGCTTTGAGTTACCGTTTGCCATGATTTTCCACATTGTTGTTCTTTCTGCTACAATCAACAAGCTGGAAGACGGCTAGTTAACCAACAAGACAGTTGATAGACAGAAGTGACTGACCACTTGGGGATGGAACAGAAATAGCCTCCATGGTGAGGAACTCACAGGAGTCAAGTCCCCACACCCACCAGTCTGGTTTTACACCAGTCTTTCTACCCTTCTTGCCATCTGCATGAATGGCCTTCAGTGGCCACTTGCCCTACTAGTAATTCATTTTCCTTAGAATTCTGACTTTCAAGTCTTTATCAGAATGGACTTCCATGTTGCCAGTAGTCAATGTAATGTTAACAGTGTCCACCCTAAATTAAGACTTCTGGTGGAATGTAACAAAAGCACTGGTATCTCATGAACCAGACCCAAGTTCCTTGTTCACTGAAAAAACAGCCCCTGGACTTCAGTAGAGGCCTCAGGGCCCCGCAAGTCTTAGAAGTTAAGCTCAAACACCAGACAAGAAACCAAGCAGGTAGGACCCTGGGAATTTCCCACACCAGCTTGAGGCCATGAGCATCACTGGAGGCCTGCGCTCCTACCGTCATCTTCTCTGAAGACTGTAAACAAAACAGAAGCACAAGAGCCACTAACTGGCTTTGCACAAGCAAAAGATACATTTGTATTTTTGTTAGCCTTTTTTGGACATAAAACTTGAAGCCTAGAGTTCCTATGCACGGATTCCTTTCTTCTAGAGAAGCCAAGTGCACAGGTCAGCCCACATTCCCACCTGCAGCAAATGACTGCTTTGCATGAGAGCGCCAAATCCAGGAAGCTTCTCCGGACTTCAAAGGACAGTGCATACTTGAGGGTGTGGCCGTCGATGATCAGGGCCACATCGTTCTCCTTGCCCAGCAAGTTCCCAAGGTCGGTGCAATGCTGAGTGATGGCAGCCCTTGTTGCCTGGAACAAGAATGGAGGGAGATCACATCTGTGTGCTTAATATATCAAAGGCAAGACAGAACCCAAAATAAGTTCCTTGAAATAAGAACATGGAAAACAGTTCAACTCGGTACAATCACACAGTAGAAGTCACTAACATTCCCTCTGGGGAGCTTTCATGGACATTTGATATTTATAGTCACCCACTCTGCCTGGGGTGTACAGCCAATCAAGAGTATTGAAACTCTCCTTCCCTGGAATTTTAACCTCAGGTTATACAAGAACCATCTTCTCTCTTCTTCCCACTATGTATGCATTATTTCTACTGTTTTTTAATTAATAGCTCTTTTTTTACTATTGTGCTGGGTAGGGGTACATTGTGGCATTTACAAAAGTTCTTACAATATATCAAATATATAATACTTGAATTCACCCCCTCCATCATTCTCCTTCACCTCCCTCCCCACAGTCCTGGCACACACATTATTTCTGACGACTGTGGAATATGGAACTCCATATAACCAATGTGCTTTTTGCATAAAAGATAGCATTACTGGAACTCGAATGGCCAACACTATCATTTCTCAGCTTACACACGGTAATCTTTAGAGTATGCAAAAAATATCAAGAGATATGAAAATAACACAAAAGACTAATTTCTATTCCTGTGGAGATCTTCAGATTAAACCATTCCCTCCATATATAATCAGGATATGAAATGAGCTGGCCATTTTCAAAACATGTGGGAAACATCTAATCACATTAAATTGTCCAAACCTACTAAAACATGACTTCCTGCCTAAACAAGTACCTTGGTGTGGTGTCTACTGTTATGCGGAATTAAAGCCCAGAACTATTCTTAAAGGCTAAAAAAGTATGTTCTGACCATCCTAGGGAATTGTATGACTATGTATAGGATGTGAGGCCCAAGTAAAAGAAGGTAATTTTTGGTTAATGAAAAGTCTGCAGAAATTATTCTATCAGGATGAGAGTCCTTCAGTTATGAAGTTACATTTACATGCAATTTAGCATATGAGAACATAAATATGGCCTTAAAGAAATATGTTTAATGAACAGGAATCTTTCTCCCTCTAGTAAAAATGAGGAGCCATCGCTATCTCAGTGACCAACAAGTTCCATTGACTTTGGGTTCACTTTTCATTCTCAATAAGAAACTTTTGACAACAGGCAAAGAGTTGCTAAGAGGATATAGCCTAGAGATCTGCAGTGTGACGGCACAACCTGAAGTCTTGTTCCAGCTCTACACTGATTACCTCTGTGACCTTGAGCAAGATGCTTCTCCTTGCTAGACTGCCATTTTCTCACGTGTAGATGTGGCTAAGAATACTTCCTAGCATTTTTGTCATAAGCAAATGAGCCAATCCGTGGACAAGCACTGAACACCGGGCTCTGCACATAGGAAACACTCGATGAAACTCTTCCTTTTCCCTCATACTATTTATGCAGGAAGAATTTCCTAGATTAAGGAAAACATACACATCTTTTACTTCCCACAATGAGTAACAACAAATGAATAATTAACACAACAATGTACTATGATTAAAAGTTACATTGACTTTAACTAAGAATAAAGGCAACTTCATATCTTTATTGTTATACAATTTTGAACGTCAAACAAGCATCTTGGAAGCATCTACATTTACTTTATCTGTGGAAACAGCCTGACCTTTAGAATCTGGAAGGAAAGAAGACAATTCTTCCCACTTTGGGAAATTCCAGCTTGACACCTGCATGTGTTCACCAGAACACAGACAAGTCTGGGGCGATTCTGCCAGGGGTTGATGCATGGAGGACTGAAAAACCTCCTGAGAATGTCAGCAAAGGGGTGAAGTCCAAGATGCTCATTTGCTCCCCCAAGCATTCTGATGCTGCAATAGAGCCCAGTCTAGCTCCGGGCCTTCCACTCATGGCCTCCTCATGGAAATACACCTGAACCCACAAGAAAAAGACTGAGGAATAAAAGTCACTGAAATACAGAGACCGTTGTCTATAGTTTTTCTTTTTTAAAAAGGAAGTAGCACAAGTAGAGACATACAGAGAGAGTCATACCAAGAGGGGCACTTTTTCTACTTGGGGTTATTTCTGGAGCATGCATAGGGACAGAGTACACACCAGTGACCCTTCTTCATCAGCTATAGGGGCAGGGGAGGTCCTCAGTATGTGCTACTAACCACCCACCAGTGTGGGAGGCTCAGGGGCAGGTGTCACCAGAGCAAGCCTAAGTGCTGGGAAGTTGGGCAACAGAAATGTTTGCTCTGGTTTGCTATGGTGCTATGCTTTGAATGTGTGCATAAAGTTTATGTGTTGGAGACTTCATCCCCAATGTAGCAGTGTTGAGAGTTTGGGTCAAATAAAAGGTGATTAACATCGTTATTCCTAGTGTGTGTTCTAAAAGGAATTCAGCTTGCTATCAGTCTCTCTCATTTCCTCTCCTTCTCTCCCTCCCACCCTTCTAATTTGTAATGACATAGCAAGAAGGGCCCTCTTCAGATGTAGCCCCTCAACCTTGGACTTTTCCAGCCTCCAGAACCATGAGTTAAATAGACTTCTACTGTTTATATTATAATGAAATACTAGTCTGAGGTATTTCATTATAGCAGTAGAAAATGGACTAAGAGGGAGTAAATCTAACTAAAACATATTATAAGCACATACATAAATATCACAATGTAGCCCCCCTGTACAATTATTATATGCTAATAAAATTTTTTTAAAAAGAAAGTGGACTAAGACCTGGTAACTAAGAAAGCTATGTTCTTAATATTCTTGATATGCACAGACCCACACCTCTCCCCAAATGTGTAGGGAAAGGATCCGAAGAGCACTGGAGTTTTAACAGAAGCAGGGGGTTGGAGATGGGGGAGAGGAGGACACTAAAGCCCCTTACCACCTCACAGCCTGGGAAACACGAGTTATGGAGCTGTGGTATTCTCAGTCAAACCGTAAAAGGTGCTACTTGAATCCCTCAAAAATCCTTATGTTGAAAGGGGATTGGACTTTGATCACATGATGAGGTGAGAGCACACAAGGGTGGTATGAGGATAGGCAAGAAACCTCCAAAAAACAAGGTAGCATTTGATGTCCTCAATGCAAAGAATTAATGCAGAAACTTTAAAGCGACAGAGGCTAATAGGAGAAAGGGACCAGGAACTAGAGAAATGGTTAGTTCGAGAAGCATTAATTTAGAAGGTAACACACAGCACACTGTGTTGTCATGGATACAGGAAAGCAATGTGAGTCAACTCCCTGTATAGCTCTCCTTATCCCAACTAGCGAAAACCTTTGGTCCTTCCTATTATTGCTTATATTCTCTCTTCAACAAAATTAGAGATAAGGGCAAAATAGTTTCTGCCTGGTAGCGAGGGGGTAGGGGGGCAGCGGGGGGGGGAAGAGGGAGGGAGTGGGAGGGGGATGGGGGAAGGGGGGAGAAATGACTCAAACATTGTATGCACATATGAATAAAATAAATTTTAAAAAATCCTTATGTTGAAACCCTGTTTACAGGCGGGATCTCTGAGAGGTGATTACGTCATGAGGGAGGACCCCTTGTGAAAGGACCACTGCCCTGGTAAGAGACAAGAGTGTTCTTTCCCCACCCCTTCTCTTCTCTCTCTCCCACCATGTGAGAACATAGCAAGAAGAGAGCCAACTTCTACTTAAAAAGCTAAACATTGATCTACCATTTGATCCAGCAGTACCACTCTTGGGGATATACCCAAAAGACTGTGACACAGGTTACTCCAGAGGCACCTGCACACCCATGTTTATTGTGGCACTATTCACAACAGCCAAGTTATGGAAACAGCCAAGATGCCCCACCACTGACAAATGGATCAAGAAAATGTGTACTTGTACACAATGGAATTTTACTCAGCCATGAAGAAGAACGAAATGTTATCATTCGCTGGTAAATGGATGGAATTGGAGAACATCATTCTGAGTGAGGTTAGCCTGGCCCAAAAGACCAAAAATCGTATGTTCTCCCTCATATGTGGACATTAGATCAAGGGCAAACACAACAATGGGATTGGACTTTGAGCACATGATAAAAGCAAGAGCACACAAGGGAGGGGTGAGGATAGGTAAGACACCTAAAAAATTAGCTAGCATTTGTTGCCCTTAATGCAGAGAAACTAAAGCAGATACCTTAAAAGCAACTGAGGCCAATAGGAAAAGGGGACCAGGAACTAGAGAAAAGGTGAGATCAAAAAGAATTAACCTAGAAGGTAACACACATGCACAGTAAATTAATGTGTGTCAACTCCCTGTATAGCTATCCTTATCTCAACCAGCAAAAACCCTTGTTCCTTCCTATTATTGCTTATACTCTCTCATCAACAAAATTAGAGATAAGGGCAAAATAGTTTCAGCTGGGTATTGAGGGGGTGGGGGGAGAGGGAGGGGGCGGAGTGGGTGATAAGGGAGGGGGTGGGGGCAGGGGGAGAAATGACCCAAGCCTTGTATGCACATATGAATAATAAAATAGTAAAAAAAAAAGAAGAGAGCCACCTAAAAACAGTGCTTTAACCTTCATCTTGACTTCCTAGCCCTTAGAACCATGAAGAAAACTTCTGTTCTTAAGCCACAGAGGCCATGGTATTTTTGCTCTAATAGTTGGAGATGACTAAGACAACAGGCAAATGCTTGAGCCCATGGACAGTATAGCGCTCTGTGTTGTCATGGATACTGAGATAAAAGGAACACAGAAACATGAGAACACATGGTCACTGTGAGATGAATATTTGCCATCATGCTTAGTGTTTGGAACAGCTTTCTAATACAATACGACAGTTGTCTTATAGATACCTGCACAGCACAGAACAGAATATGTGGGAGAAAATCACAGCCTGAATCTGTTTTGTACTGCTATCACAGAATACCTGAGTCTGAGGAATTTCTAATGAACAGAAACTTAACTGCTCACAGTTCTGGAGCCTCAAAAGCCTATGATCAAGGGGCCAGCATCTAGTAAGAGTCTTCAAGCTGTGTCACCCCATGGC